TTTTTTTTTTTTGGTCTTTTTGAGACAGGGTCTCCTTATAGCCCCAGCTGTCCTGGAACTTGGAACTCACACCAGGCTGGCCTTGAACTCACAGAGATCCACCTGACTCTGCCTCCCAAGTGCTGGGATTAAAGGTGTGCGCCACCACGCCCGGCTTAGATTGTTCTTTTTTAAAAAATCTTTTATTTATTATTTTTATTTTATGTGTATGAATGTATTGCCCACATATATGTACATGCACTCATGTTGTGCAATGCCTGCGGAAGTCAGAAGGTGGCGTCGGATCCCCCGGAACTGGAGTTAAGGACAGTTGTTAGCTGCCATGTGGGTGATGGGAACCGAACCTGTGTCCTCTGCAAGAGCAGAGTGCTTTTAACTGCTGAGCCATCTCTCCAGCCCCTTTTTTCTAATCTTGACCACATCATGCTGGCTTTTAGCATGGCAGAGTTTTATAGATGAGTCTTATAGTACAGAAATTCAAAAATCATAATGATTTCACCCAGGGTGGCTCCTATCTTCTATTAATCACACTCCTCATGCAGAAATGGAATTCTATTTTAGTCTCCTAAAGATAAATTAGTATATAGTGGAAAGGAAATTAAACTGCTAGGAATTAAATGCTATGTTAGAATTCACATAAACATTCACCTTGGTGTATCTGTGTCCGAGTCTGTAAGCTGAAATTAAATACAGATTCAGCTGTATCTCACTAGACTCTAATAACTCTAAGATCTGTCATAAACATGCACTTTGTGTGTGCAATAATAATAACAGTAACAGGTAATCTTTATGGGAGTGTTTACTGTATGTGAAGAACTATGCTAAGCACTTTATATGCATTTTTAAAATTTAAACCTCCCAACAAACGGATGTGGTGTAGCATACCTGTAATCCTAGTGCTCAGGAGCTGAAGGCAGGAGGATTATAAATTCGAGGCCAGTCTGCATAGGGAGTCTTGATTTAAAAACCAAACCAAACAAACAGACGAAACACCTCCCAACAGCCTTTTGAGGTAGTTATTCCCATATTGCATCTGAGGATTATTCAGGTTAAGTGGCTTTCCTAGTGTCACACAGCTGTGAGTGGGAAACAGCTGGACTTGGGTTCAGATTCTGAGCCATATTGCCCTTCGTCATGCTTCAACTTCAGGATCATTTTGCAGATCTCTGCCTGTAACTTTCTTGTCTTTATCTGCACTTCCTTATTTTGGGATGGAAAAGTCTTTTTGATGCTTATGGATTGTAATTTCCATTGAAATTTTTTTACCTTCAAAAAGGTATTAGGTGGTTGAAATCAGATCGAGTTTGAGCCTGCGTTGCTGGATGTGTACATGGGCTGTGAACTGATGCTTTCAATCTAAATTTTCTTTCCATCAGCTACTTTTTAAAAGCATTAAGCAAGTAGCTTCTGACATTAACAGGGAAGATTTAAATTCTCCTGAGAGAGCTTGGAGGTGTTAAATAATTTTCTGGTAGTGCACATTTTGCATTTTTGATCTTCCTCCCATTTTTGATTCTACCTCACCTCAGTGCACCTGAAGCTCGGAGAACGTTCCTTCGCATTGCCCAGAACAGCTACCCCTCTGACTGCAGCTCTCTCTCTTCCTCATCCCTCCTCCACTTCAGTTCTTTCTCTTTACGGCTTCGACTGTTGTCCTTGGAAGAGCTTTAGAAACAGCCAGATTCTTTTGAGTCTGTAAGCTCAAAACAGACTGCTGCTCATATCCAGCACAGAACTTTGTCCAGAAAACAAGGAGTTAAAAAAAAAAAAGTCTGGGCTGTGAAGGGCTGTGACAACTGTCCTAGGGGGAGCTCTAGCGAGCAGTGACTCATGCTGCTCTGTCACTCAGATCAGCACTGGCCCCTGCCATGCAGGTGGCCAGGTGGGGTTATAGCCAGAACACTCACCACCACGGAGTGGGGAGCATGCAGCCTGCACTGCGGGGGATGTGATGCTGGCTTGCCAACTTCCTCCCGGCTGGACCACCTCGGACTCCTCAGCCTGCAGTCATGGTAACGCTTCTGACTGGAGATGCCCCCGGGAGTCCCCGAGGATGGGCAGCCCCCTGGTGACTGATGGACAGTTGTCCATGTATCCGAGTGAAAGAGTTTAGTAGGTCGGCAGGCAGCAGAAAGGATGTGATGCCCTCCTAACCTGGAGTCATGCCTTAAGGAGGTAGGAACCCTGCTGCAGATGTGCATCTGTGGGTCTCTATGCACCCCTCCCCAGCCCCCAGTCTGTGAGAGGGGCTATAAATCATCAGGAGGAACTTTATTTGGCTGGTGTTTCATTATACTGATTAAACTGCAGTGGGTTCAATGGGCACAATTGTGCTGGGAATAATGAACTAAAAAAAAGTGGTTAATAAGATCTCCAAGTAGACTCATCCGGATATGAATGAACTAGACTGCAGTGGTAGCCTAACATGAGTTCCAGAACCTCCCAAATCTTATTACTTCCTCCCATTCTGGCTAATCCACTTGAGACATAGATATTCCTTCTGATTGTGATGATTATCGCTAACTATTAATTATTTAGACCTGTCTGGAAGAGGAGCTAAATAGGTTGTCTGGCATCCTGGCAGTAGCCAGCTGATGCCTCACAGAAACCTTCTGGAAACATCAGGAAGGAGATGCTCCAGTGAGTTGCCCAAGTGCTTCTGTTGGACCAAGTGACCTGTTTGAGTTTATCCTTCACTTTCCCCCTGCTGGGGGAGTCAGGCTGTCTGCGGGTTGGTGGCCATGTTGGCAGAGAAGGGGTTAATCTCTTGTTGCTGTAGGAGCGAGGCTGGGTCTGCCTGTGGAGGAGCTAGATTGAAAGCAGGCGCTGCAGTGCTGTCGCCAACGCTGAAGGAGTAAGATGCTTTTCTCCGCAACAGTGTGGAATCCATCTGAATTTTTCTCTCTCCCCCCTCTTCTTGTTTTTCTTTAACCAGCTCCTCCTCCTTTCGTTCCTACCCTCAAGTCTGATGATGACACTTCCAATTTTGATGAACCAGAGAAGAATTCGTGGGTTTCATCCTCTCCGTGCCAGCTGAGCCCCTCGGGTTTCTCGGGCGAAGAACTGCCGTTTGTGGGGTTTTCATACAGCAAAGCACTAGGGATTCTTGGTAGAGCTGAGTAAGTGAAAATTTGACTTTCTAAGGGACCTGCATGGATGCCTGGCCAAAGGTGGTGGTGGTGGTGGCAGTGGTGGTGGGAGGTGGGGGAGTGCGGTGGAGGGAAGCCTCTGATCTGCCTGTGTTTGGAAAGCAGTGTACCTGTTTGGGGCTTCTGGGGCTAGACTGCTAGTGTTCTTATTTTGCATGGCACGTAAGGTACCTGTTCTGCCCGTGGCGTTCTATTTGCCAGCTAGGTACTTTCGGTTAGTTTTCCCTGTCTTTGGTTTTCTTTAGAGGGAGGAGGAAGTGGGAAATTTCTAGCAGTGCAGGTCTGTGGTCAAAGGGGAACCATATAAGAGTTAAATGGAGCTGCCCATCTAGCCATCTGTGTATCTGTCTGTATCAAGTGGGTGGATGGTTGGTATCTTGGCTGTACAGGAAGACTCCTAAACACTGTATCTTATGAGCTAAAGGTTTCCCGATGGGTTTAACTGAGCTGCAAGTGGCTGAACCTGAGCTCTAACTGGGAAATGATGCTCGGCTTCTCCCCAAGTATGCTGCAAGATCAGGAATCTGGCAGCTGAGCTGCTCTGAGACGGGAGGGCACTGGCTGCCGGTGGAAGCCCCGATACTGGGAGCCGCCAGGAGGAGTATGATGCAGCCTCCACTGATTCACAGAATCTGAGCTTCATGGGAGGGGGTCAGAACCTCTAAACAAACTAGGAGACTGGAAATGGAAATCTAAATCCCACTGTGAGCCTCTTGACCTAGTAGCTTTCTGCATTCCCATAAAAGCTGGTGAAGTACATTGCTTGGGTTGGAGGGTCCTGGTTTCCAGGCTTCTAGAATCCCTGTAAAATGCAGTAGCCTTGAGATGTAGGAGCTCCATGACATTCTGTTTTCAGGGGAGCATGTTCCCCCAGGAAGGTCTTGGCCCAACTGTGTTATTCCCCAGACACTCTGGCTTCCTCACTCTGAGGCTCTTGGGGGCAATGTTGGGGGATTAGTTGTTCTCCACTTAGGAGAAGGGCAGATTTTTTCCTCCTTGGTAGCATTCATTACTTATTTGTTGTGTTTGAAGCTTAGGCATCGGTTTCAAGGGATGTCATACTGTTTCCTGGATGGTGTCTTCCCACAGGTGCAATTTGGGCAGAAAGGTTCCTAAAAAGATCTCAGATTATTATGGGGGAACTGGGCATTTAACATAAACTAGGCTGTGGGCTGTGATTGAAATTGAGAGAGGTTTTTACATTGGAAGATGCTGAGGTGAGCTTTCTTTATAACCTTGCTCGAGGTCTGTGTTTAAAATTTATGTGGATGTTGGCATTATTAGATATGCCTTTCTTGCTGATCTGCTCTACTACCCAAAGCAACGTGGAAGATGGTAGGGGAGGCAGCAGTCTAACTAGCTGTTGAATGTGCCATCAGCTAGGTTTGCAATGGGCTAAGTAGTGCTAGGAGGTTCAGTGTTGGTGTCAACGATCCAGGCAGGAGTGGAGGGCCAGACGGAGAAGGATGCCTGGTTAGTGGGCAGTGTAACCTTGACACACTCAGCACACTGAAGGTCACAAGTCGAACTGGGAGGAGATGTGTAGTGAATAGCTGTTCTAGTTAGCAGTGGGCCGAGAGGTTAGAAGAAAGCTTTCTGGGGGTGTTGATCAGTGATCTGGAAACCCTGGGAGGACCATGGGGAGTCAGGTTTTAGGGGAAAGGGAGAAGGATGTGGAGGAGCTGAGCAGGATTAATGTGTAGCAGTGTGTGATTAATTGCTTATTTTTCAGGAAGACTCTAATTGTATCTTTCTGGTTCTCAGAAAGCTGAGTAAAAAGAGCTCTGTTCGGGGGACCTCTCAGCATTAAGGCCCAGGCACTGGATAAATATTTGTTGAATTTACTCATGAGCCTTTCCCCCAGAAGGTGTTTATGTTGCTTTCTGAATTTGGAGGTTTGCTGTTTCACCTTTGGCTATTCAAAATATCTCTCTAATGTATCAAATGAGCTTCCATTCTTGCCCCAACAGAATATTTAATAAGATCCTCATAAAAATAAAAGCCTTTATAACAAAACCATGTATTTGTTATCTGGAAGGTGGAATTGAAGTAGTCTTATTTTGGGGGGAGTTAATGCCTTTTCCATGGCAATTCAGGATTTGAATAAGAAAAGATTTTTTTTTTTTTCTCTTGCATCTCGTTAGAGACATAACTGTCGGGCTTGGCTACTTTATTTACCAAGGGCTGCTAGATGAGCCAAACCTACAGCATCATTTTAGAAATTCTGCCCACCTGTTGGATGTAGGCGACCCTGGGTATGTTGGATCATAATGAATTGGAAAGTCAATAAAAGAGATACAGTGATGAAAGTACTGAGCAGCTCCTGCAGTGTTCTGGACATATATTTACAGGTTCATTTGCAGGGGGCGGCATCTTCTCTGGGTGCCACCTCTGCCCTCCAGTGACCTCAGACATCCTCCTTTTCTCACACTCCCTCTTTTTACCAGCACAGGTTTTTATTTACACTGCTGTTACTACAGCTTCTCACCACCAAGGAAACTGCAGCAGCTTGTAGCGTTAGAAAATTGACCCCAGATTTGTTACCAGTGAACAGAATGAAATGTTCAGTGGTAGGGCTGATTGAACTAGGAATTTTCATGGAGATTCTGGCCGGGAGAATGATTTTTGTGGTTGCGCCTCACTTTTTAGTATCTTTTTCCTTCTTGCAGGAGGGGCCCAGACTATTTTTAAGCCAGCTGTTGAGCGTGTCATTATTTTAGGTTTAGTTAGAAGCCTGATCTCAGCATTTCAGTGAATGAGGTGTAGGGAGTTCCTTGTTGCTCAGGTTGAGAGCAGGGAGCTTGGTGAGAACCAGGTTTGACTGCTTGCCCTTGCGGTAGAAATTATAGTGAAGTTAGCTTTGGAGAGCATCTACATGGTGACTTTTTTTTTCCCCCTGTGGGGCTAGGGGTTGAACCTAGGGCACTTGTGAGTGCTAAGCAAGCACTCTAACATTGACCATTGAACTACATCTCCAGCTCAGCTCTTTTCCTTTTTAACCCAGTACCCAATACCCAATAATCCAAACCAAATCCTCCTGCTTTAAATGCCTTATGTGTTCCCCTGAGCCTCTGTTTGCTTGAACTTTACAATAGTAGGGTAGTACCAGAAATCAGTATGTGAAAGGTCTAAAAATAAAGTGGATCCCAGGAATCTTCCCTTCCCTGTCAGCATGGGGTACATTTCTTTAAGTCCTTCCTTCTTCTTTCTAGATTGAAGCACTGCCTCATTCAAGCACTGGCTGAAACAGGCATTTCTGGAAGCCTCCAGCATAAACTCTCGAAGGCAGAAATCAACTAGATTTATGTCTTGTGTTATTTTCACACTCACTTGTTTTCTGCTTTTGGAAAGTTGGGAATCTTGGAGATGATGGTAAATGATATTGATGAGACTGGATTTGTAGGTCTGGGGTCTGGGTGGGCTGCCTTAGGAAGGAAGCTCTTTCTTCCTTTGCCACTGGGCATCTAACTGTCTTTTGGGAGGATCTGAAGATATAGGGATGGAGCCAGCCATTCAGACCTGGTGGAGAAGTGAGGAGTGACTGCCACCATGGCTTTCCCAAATTTGTAGGTGACCTGTTTTCAGTGCCTTTTCCTTGCTTGGTTAGGACTTCTTTGCACATTAGTTTCCTCAGTGGCAAGGTGGTAATGGAGGTATCTTTCTATATGGCTGCTGGGAGGATGGAATGGAATATATAAAGTACTTACTCTAATACTTGGCACATGTACAAGACTTAATAAATGTTCCCTGGTTGTGTTTTTGCAATTTCTTTTATTATTTATTATTTTTTTATGTGTATGCTTGTATTGCCTGTATGTATGTAAGTGCAGCTGTGTTGTGCAATGCCCGTGGAGGACAGAAGAGGCCTTCGGATCCCCTAGAACTGGAGTTACAGACAGTGGTTATCTGCCATGTGGGTGTTTGGATTTAAGCCTGGGTCTTTTGCAGGAACAGCCAGTGTTCTTAACCACTGAGCCATCTCTTCAGCCCCATATTTTGGCTATTTCCAATACACCATCTGTATTTATGTTGTATCCTTCTGTACATGCCAAGAGGCTATGGAAAGGACTCATCAATAATTAGGTAGCTCATAGCCACACCAGACCCCAAACTCAGTTCCCTAGGCCTTGGAAATGCTTAAACGTCCTGGCCAACCACACAAATTGTTGGAGAGAAGTAGATTGGGGGACAGAATTGCAAGATTAAGTCCCAGAATGGGCACTGTTCCATCAAGCTGAATACATTGAAGCAGATTTGTTGTAACACTTCACAGAACATAGAGCAGGCACCTAAGTTGCAGAATAGCTCAAGATACTGGACTTCCAAATGCTTTAAAAAAGTCAGGTGAGTAAGGCAGTCTCAGGAGAGGATTTCCTGAGTAGTGCCAGTTCATGGTTTTTGCCAAACAGTGATGTTCTTTCTTGGACAGTCTGCCCATTCCCCCATGCAGGCTGGGGTCTCCAGGGTGGAGCTATGCTTGATTTATTGTCATCCTCCTAGACACAAGAAGAAGTGGGCCTTCAGTAAATATACATGCTGGAAATGAGATTATCTGTATACTAATGAAAGGTGAACTTTTTGAGTCAGCTCTTTAAATTTATTTATTTTTTATGTGTGTGGGTATTTTGCCTGCGTGTATATAAATGAACATGTGCATGCGATTCCTGTGGAGGCTAGGAGAGGGTGTTGGAGTTGCTGGAACTGGAGTTATGAATGGTTGCTAGCTGCTCTGTGGTGCTGGGAACCATACCTGGGTCCTTTATAAGAGCAGCCATTACTCCTAACCACTAAGCCATCTCTCCAGCCTCAAGGGCTAACTCTAAAAGATAGTGGATTTGGATCAGTGGAGAGGAAGGTAGAGAGAATTTCAAGGGGTCAGAGGGTTAACAACAGCCCATCCTTATAGGGTGACCAATTCTCTACCAGACTCTGTTCAAGCACTGCACACAGATGAACTCATGTAAACGACA